TATTTATCGGTGCTATAATAATATAGGCCTACTAGTAATACACTGCCACTGGTGAAGATCAATACAGGTTTACGGATCGAAAGCTAGTAATACAAAATAAACGTGACGTGTCGAGAAATACCAAACAATTACATTTCCGGCGTCCAATCATGCAAACACGGTTTGATTATAATCATGAAGTGAAATGTTGAGTGTGTAATTTGTGCCACAATGGTAAGTGCTTTCCCTACAGTTGAAGGATCTTGTAGATGAAAATTATCGAGTGGAAATTTATATAGCGAGTTTTAGGTGCCTCGTATGACTCACACTTATAATGCAGCCCCGACATTTAAGATTGATAACAAATCGTATTAAATGAATTCAGTCCGAGAATTTCAAATAACAACAACAATGAATTGACAGTTCCAACATTGCATATAGTTATAGTTACGGAAACAACAACAATATTGTCAATAATGAATTGACAGATTGGCGTTGCATAAAGTAACTCCAGTTCCGAATTCCCAGGCCGTTTAGACCATATAATGACAAATTTACTATCCTTCATTAGATTTTATTTTTGTGAAAGCAGCCAATCTTCAAATGGAGCTTTTGTCAAATACAGTCTATGGCTCTATGCTCAAAGATTTTCCATCACCAAACGATAAATTCCTCCGCCCTCTGAAATGCGCCAAAACCGCCTAAAAAATTATTAAATAAAAATAGAGAAAAAACCCGAAAAAACCCCAGCATTGTCTTCACCAGTGTATTACAATACCGACAAATACCGAACTTGTATCGACAGCTTCGCCAAAATTGAGGACGAGGAAAGAAATAAACCTGTCCACCGAACAAAACACAATTACATTTATTTTTCACTGTGAAAAAGGCACTTCGCTACCATTGTGGCACAAATTACACACTCAACTATTTCAAGTAGATTGAAACACTTTGATTCAATTTCGTGAACATTTCACTTCATGATTATAGTCAAAGATTGTTTGCATGATTGGACACCGGAAATGTAATTGTTTGGTATTTCTCGACACATCACGTTTATTTTGTATTACTAGTTTCGATCCGTAAACCTGCATTGATCTTCACCAGTGTATGAAATTATTATAGCACCGGTAAATACCGAACTTGCATCGAAAGCTTCGCCAAAATCGAGGAAAGAAATAAACGTGTCCACAACACAAAAACAACACAACTAAATTTATTTTTACCATGCACAATGGTATATATTTAAAAAAAATTCAATACAATTTTTCAAAAAAGCAATACAAAATGCGTCATGGCGGCTATCTTTTTATCTCCAAATTACGGCAAATAGAAATATTTCGAAAGTTCGATACTTTAAAAATATTTTTAGCTTCAGCGACAGGGTGATTGCCTGAACATCTATACGAAGTCCTGTTTCTGCGATATTTTCCCCATGGATATTGCAAAGAAAACAGGAGAGTTTACTGAAATGACAATGAAATTTATACGTCTGCATTTTGGGCAGGGCCGTATACGCAGGATTTTTTCACTATATGCGGGCAGTATACCAGATTACAACCGCCATTTGGCAAAATAATTAATATAAAGTTGTAGAATAAGTTATTGTATGTACAATCTTCTGCATCTACAATTTTAGTTTCATATGATTTGTAATTGAATAAATCTACGACATTACAAATATGAGTAAAATATTCGTTTCAAAGGCGCCAATCTGGTCGAAGGTTCCAAAATGGTGAAATCATTCAAATTGTACCGTGTATTGTTGATTCCATTGACCAATTTCTATACAGAAAGTTATGCAGCAAGCAGGCGCTCTTCGTTTTTACTCTTGTAGCTAGTAATATTTGCCAACGAATTTAAAGAAGGTCCTTACTGGCCTTGGGAGGGGTTTTGAACTGATATACATAAGCTAAGGTTTCCTAGCTCCTGAAATTAATATTAAAAGGACTTAGTTAAATTAAGTACTTTGGTTATAATTTTCTTTGACTTTGTTCAGGAAAAGGGAGGCAATTAAGCTTTCAATTCCTGCAGACAAGATGTCTGTAACCGCCCATGTATGATTACTTCTGCGCGGGAGACCGCCCGTGCATGATTACTTCTGCGCGGGAGACTGCCCGTGCATGATTACTTCTGCGCGGGAGACCTAACCATCCAATTGGAGATAAAGAGAGAGCCGCTATTTTGTGTTGCTTTTTCAAAAATTGTATTTAATTATTTTTATAAATATAATTATACCATTGCGCATGGTAAAAATAAATTTATTTGTGTTGTTTTTGTTCTGTCGACACGTTTATTTCTTTGCTCGATTTTGGCGAAGCTTTCGATGCAAGTTCGGTATTTAACGGTGCTATAATAATATACTAGCCGATACACTGCCACTGGTGAGGATCAATACAGGTTTACGGATCGAAAGCTAGTAATACAAAATAAACGTGATGTGTCGAGAAATACCAAACAATTACATTTCCGGCGTCCAATCATGCAAACACGGCTTTGACTATAATCATGAAGTGAAATGTTCACGAAATTGATTCAAAGTGTTTGAATCTACTTGAAATAGTTGAGTGTGTAATTTGTGCCACAATGGTAGCTAAGTGCCTTTTTCACAGTGAAAAATAAGTGTAATTGTGTTTTGTTCTGTCGACACGTTTATTTCTTTCCTCGTCCTCGATTTTGGCGAAGCTTTCGATGCAAGTTCGGTATTTATCGGTATTGTAATACACTGGTGAAGACAATATATGCTGTAACAATATACTAGTAATACACTGCCACTGGTGAAGATCAATACAGGTTTACGGATCGAAAGCTAGTAATACAAAATAAACGTGATGTGTCGTGAAATACCAAACAATTACATTTCCGGCGACCAATCATGCAAACACGGTTTGACTATAATCATGAAGTGAAATGTTAAGTGTGTAATTTGTGCCACAATGGTAAGTGCTTCCTTTACAGTTGAAGGGTCTTGTAGATGAAAATTATCGAGTGGAAATTTATATAGCGAGTTTTAGGTGCTTCGTATGACTCGCACTTAATGCAGCCCCGACATTTAAGATTGATAACAAATCGTATTAAATGAATTCACGGTCCGAGAATTTCAAATAACAACAATAATGAATTAACAGTTCCAACCTTGCATATAGATATAGTTACGCAAATATAACAACAGTATTGTCAATAATGAATTGACAGATTGGCGTTGCATAAAGCAACTCCAGTTCCGAATTCCAAGGCCGTTTAGACCATATGATGACAAATTTACTATCCTTCATTAGATTCTATTTTTATGAAGGCAGACAATCTTCAAATGGAGCTTTCGTCAAATATAGTCTATGGCTCTATGCTCAAAGATTTGCCATCACCGAACGATAAATTCCTCCGCCCTCTGAAATGCGCCAAAACCACCTAAAAAATTATTAAATAAAAATAGAGAAAAAATAAGAAAAAAACCCCAGCATTGTCTTCACCAGTGTATTACAATACCGACAAATACCGAACTTGCATCGAAAGCTTCGCCAAAATCGAGGACGAGGAAAGAAATAAACCTGTCCACAGAACAAAACACAATTACATTTATTTTTCACTGTGAAAAAGGCACTTAGCTACCATTGTGGCACAAATTACACACTCAACTATTTCAAGTAGATTCAAACAGTTTGAATCAATTTCGTGAACATTCCACTTCATGATTATATAGTCAAAGCCGTGTTTGCATGATTGAACGCCGGAAATGTAATTGTTTGGTATTTCTCGACACATCACGTTTATTTTGTATTACTAGTTTCGATCCGTAAACCTGCATTGATCTTCACCAGTGTATGAAATTATTATAGCACCGATAAATACCGAACTTGCATCGAAATTTCTTCGCCAAAATCGAGGAAAGAAATAAACGTGTCCACAGAACAAAAACAACACAATTAAATTTTTTTTACCATGCACAATGGTATATATTTAAAAAAAATTCAATACTATTTTTCAAAAAAGCAATACAAAATGCGTCATGGCGGCTGTCTTTTTATCTCCAAATTACGGCAAATAGAAATATTTCGAAAGTTTGATACTTTAAAAATATTTTTTAGCTTCAGCGCGCGACAGGGTGATTGCCTGAACATCTATACGAAGTCCTGTTTCTGCGATATTTTGCCCATGGGTATGGCAAAGAAAACAGGAGAGTTTACTGAAATGACAATGAAATTTATACGTCTGCATTTTGGACAGGGCCGTATACGCAGGATTTTTTCACTATATGGGGGCAGTTTACCAGATTACAACCGCCATTTGGCAAAATAATTAACATAAAGCTGTAGAATAAGTTATTGTATGTACAATCTTCTGCATCTACAATTTTAGTTTCATATGACTTGTAATTGAATAAATCTACGACATTACAAGTATGAGTAAAATATTCGTTTCAAAGGCGCGAATCTCGTCAAAGGTTAAAAAATGGTGGAATCATTCAAATTATACCGTGTATTGTTGATTCCTTTGACCAATTTCCATATAGAAAGTTATGCAGCAAGCAGGCGCTCTTCGTTTTACGCCAACGAATTTAAAGAAGGTCCTTACTGGCCTTGGGAGGGGGGGAGTTTTGAACTGATATACATTAGCTAAGGTTTCCTAGCTCCTGAACTTAATATTAAAAGGACTTATTTAAATACTTTGGTTCTAATTTTCTTTGACTTTGTTCAGGAAAAGGGAGGCAATTAAGATTTCAATTCCTGCAGACAAGATGTCTGTAACCGCCCGTGCATGATTACTTCTGCGCGGGAGACCGCCCGTGCATGATTACTTCTGCGCGGGAGACCTAACCTTCCAATTGGGTACGTATGGTAATAACGGTAGCCGAATAGTCGGTGGCCGTATTTATGGTGAACGTAGATATTAATGAACAATAGTGAATGGAGCTGACATGCTGCGGTGTCATTATACGACACATTTTGAAAAGCAGCTTGGCCGCACCCCAAAAGTCATTATCATAATAACTGCAGTATTATAAAAGGGTTACGTCTGTTCATAAATAAGAAAATTGGAATTCGTCCTTTGGCAAGTTTGGTAGATTGACAAAGAAGAAGAGATTCGAAGTGAATTCTAATCATGAAATACTGCTGTGTCTTCATTGCATTCTTGGCAATACTTTGCTGTCAAACAGGTAACGATATTCGTAACCAACAATCATATAAGTTCATATGTTTAAACATGCACGTAATCTAATGTTTTGGCTCATTGTTTTTCAGACGCAATCGAAGAGACCGAGGAAATACATTTGTCAGAGGGCAGAAGCGCTCAAAAAATCACCCGAAAGGAATTGTTGGCAGATCTAAAGGCAGCAAATTTGGAAAGCATTGGCTTTGTTCGATACTCACGGACAACATCTACAGTCGGAGAAGATGGAACACGTCATGAAAAGCGCGTCGTCGGATACAAAAAACAAGTCAAATGTTCAGAAGAGGAGGAAGCAAGACAACAAATGGAGGAACGGTTGCCGAAGCATTTGTTCTCTCGCAAACTGAACCAAAAAGCTGATGCAGATGTCAAAAAAGACTCGGCTAGACTTGATCAGCGCTTTTGTGATGTTGGAATAGAGGTTAAACTTCCTAACAATGGACGTAAAAGATTCTTCTTTTTTTTCTTTGCCATTGTCATTGTTATTGGTTAATTACTACATTACAACCAATTTAAAATTGCGTATCTTTTTTTTTTTTTTACTTAAAATAATGTCTTCGTTAAGTTGTTTGCCGTTTTTGACACGTACGAGTTAAACAAGATTGTTCTCATTTGTAAACGTCATTATGGAATAAAGGTTCATTCTCATTATGTTGTTTGCAAGTTTTTTTGGTATGGAAATATTTCGCGAAATTTGGGATTCTGACTTGTACACGGAATTAAACCACTTAATCTTTCGCATCACAAGCCAGTCTCGTCAACCTCTAGCGGTTGACTGCTTTGTGTTTTCATATCTTCGATTCAGTGCATGCTATGAAGACAGATATACCACCATTCGATTCAGAAATAAAAGATTCAACTAATTCCTCCGTATAGTTATAGTCGTTATCAACATTGTAGCGATTTATGGGCCTTTGAAAGTCAAACACGATCATATTGGATCAAATTACGCAATTGTCTGAACAAAAATATAGACTAGCCATACCTTTCGCCGAAAATTACTTTGGCCCCTTCGAACATATCGTCTTTGTAGTAGTTTTGTTAGAATCCCCGTCAAAAACACCATCTACAATGTTATTTGCAAGCCTGTATCTTTAAATCTGTATCTTTTATCAATATATTTCCATTTCTTGTCCGACTGTGAGCTCGAAGTGAGTTAATCCCAACCGGAAATACGACCGAAAACCGTCAAAACAATGCGACGTTTGTATCGTACTGCAAAGGCCAGAAATGGTTCGGAAGGTCAAATTGCACTACACGCGTGAGTTTGACGTCATCCCGGCCACAGGAGCTTCTTATTGGCCAATTATTGCGCAATGTACGCGAGTAAAAACCCGATATCAGCCGATATTTTGAAATATTCGAAATAAATATTTCTACAGGCCTAGGCCGTATTCATACGAAACTTTCTACACGAAAGCACTTGAATACAAAGAGTGTTTTACTCATATAGCCTGTTAGAAAATGACAAAAAGTTTAGAAAATATCCAACTTTTTCTCTATATCCAATACAGACTGTTTGGCCAAGCGGTGAGTATAAACTGTGATTGTTTCGGTTTGTGTAATGTTTTGACGGCACTTAATCCCCGGTTCGAAAGGTTATTTTGTGAGGATTTCAATGGTGGGTATTGTTTTAAAGGGGGTAAATACCCGCCGAGATATTTACATTAGAAATATTGACTCATAATGTAATGTGAAACCGCCTGTCGTTAAAGGGACGAGAAAACTTGTTTTAAAACTTTAATTAATTCTTTAAGTAATAATAGCATTATAATAGTACAGGAGGTCTGAGAGCATTCTCCCCCAGAAAATGTCGTATTTTTCCATCCCTAGGACTGCATTTCGTGCGTTTTCAATAACAGATTTTTGGATATACAAATATATATCGATAGACTGAATCTTCAGTTAAGTAATAATAATAATAATAATAATAATAATAATAATAACGATTTATTCAACAGATCCATACATATGGCTCTTCCCTGTTAAAATACTAATTAAATACTATATTCTATAACTATGAACTATAACGTTTAAGTGTTGAAATTAGATAAAATCAATGTTCGGATTAAAAACTAGTTTTGGCGTGCTCTTTCGAATAAAAGTTCTTTAGTTAATTTTAAAAATACTTTGTAATTAGTACAATTCCTGATGTTCTCAGGTAAGGAATTAAAAAGTTTCGCAGCACTATGTTGAAACGTTCCAGTTTCTTTTGGCACGACTAGTCTAACTGCATTGGTTGAGCGCAGTTCTCGAACGCAAGTTTGTCGTTCTAGCTTTAGATACTCTGGCCACTCTGGGAAGTACATGGCTTTGAAACTCGATTTCAGGATGTTGAGGTCTCTTCTTTCGTTAACTGGAAGCCATCCAACTTCCAAGATATCCTTTTGATCTTTAACATATCGACCCAAGACAAAACTAGCAGTTGCAAATTGAACTTTCTGTAAGCGCCTTGATAGAAACTGCGGGAGTGGATAGAAAACACCATCAGCATAATCCAATTTGGATAATATTAGCGTTTCAGCTAACTGCTTTCTAAGGTAATAAGAAGCTAGATGTTTAAGTTTCCTTAATATTTGCAAGGTGGCGTAGCAGGCAGATGTTATGTGACGGATATGGTTGTCCCATTTTAGGTGTTCGTTGAAATGAACGCCAAGCAACTTGCATGACTTTATGCGCTCTAGTTCGTGTTCGTTGACAAATATTCTAGGTTCATAATTTTCCAATTGGTGGACTCTTGACATTTGTTGAGTTGAGAAAAGCATTGCTTTCGTCTTCTTATGGTTTAAGGCAAGTACTTGCATGGTATGTTTATGTAAATACCACCACTCGGTCACTAACGTGTTTAGCCTAGCCTTCCAACAGCTCAAATGTATAGGGCCTAGGATTAGGTAAAAAAACGACATTGAATCATTTTAAGATAAAAGGACATTGAATCATTTTAAGATAAAAGACATGACATAAGATTTACAAAGCAAGGTTCAATTACTAGAATATCAAACATCCCTTCTAAATTCCATTTTTCTTCAATGTTTTCCTTATATTTAGGCAAAAGTGACTGGGGAGGAGGGGGAATGGTTGACAGGAGAGGCCACCATGGGGGCTGGGGAGGGGGCTCTATTTTAACCAATGCTTATCGTTTGGTTTGTTGGGAGAAGAAACTTCATTAGAATAAGCTTCGCATGGTTAAAGTTAATTAAATCATTATTTATACGGTCAATTCAACGGTCAAATCTTTGTTTTTTTAATCATTTTTTAATATTCAAAGAGCGTAAATAACAGGTTATATGATGTTGTGTTGTAGCCGTATTTATACTAGGCGTTACTATCGCAAGGAATATTGCTGCTTCCTCCCAAGGCATCAAAGGCAGCAAACGCAATAGCCTGCGAACAGGCTCTCAAGCTGAATTGAGAGCCTGCATCGATGACTAATGAATTTGAATATCTGCGTCTCAAATCGTGACGCGAAATTGTCATTGGTCAGATGCTGTAATTTATGTGTTTCCGCTGAGCTCTATATATGTCAACTGCTCAAGCAGTACTATGCATAAAGTCCATAAAAAACACATTAACTGATCAAATTGGTCTTGGCCGTCTTATATCAAAGCACGAAATGTTCTGTTTTGAGAAAACAGTATTTAAAACATTTGAACTTTCGCTTGAATATCTTATATTTCGAAAAACAGTATAAACGGTACGGTCTAAATTTAGTTTGCACGGTCTAAATTTAGTTTGCATGAAAGTTGTAAACAACACCATATAAGGATAGACATTCCATATTTGGAAAAACGAACGTTACGGGGCAGATATTCAAATTCATTAGAGAGTCTTAAAAGAGAGTCTTAAAATTAATGAAATTGGTGAAATTAGTGAGGCCAAGGTGGCTCGATACAGTTTTCAAAAATTCAGGTGTTCAACACTTTGACATGTTCAAACTACTCACTTTTAGGATTTATTCAGCAGATATTGGGGTTTTTATATATTTTGATAACTCTACTTTCAAATTATATTAGTTTTCGTAACAGATAGTTCGTTGCTATGACGACATACGTGTACGAAATTCACTCCAAAATGGTCTATCGCCTCGTATAGTTGGAAAAGAAGCATGGTGACCCCCAATTTTTTTTTTGTGCTTTATTTTTCTTGGACTAAAAGCTAACAATTAGCAAAATAATAAAAAAATTCTGTAATGCCATTTTTTTGGAAGATGCGAAAATGTCATATTCTTCGATAAAATTTTTTTGGCATCACAGAATTTTTTATTTTTTGTATAATGAAAGTTTTTAGCGGTGCAATACAGCATACAAAATTTGAACATAGGTCACCAGACAAAATAAAGAGATATAGCGCATTGTATTTCTAAAATGGAAAATTCTAATGACGTCAGCAATTGACATAAAACGCTGTAGAACACGCGCAATGGCGTGATATGGCGCGAGCAACTGCTCACGTCAGGTCATTTTGGAAGTTCTTTCATTTTCTTAATCAGCTTCCGAGACCTGCGCGTAAAAATGATCACCCGTTTTCAGTTCGCGATTCTTGAGCAGGGTTCTTGTGATAACTATATCGAGCCACCTTAACTAAAATGTTAATGTCATAAAACAATTTTTTTTGTGCTCCAAAGTGTGAAGTGTAAAGGCCCTGTCACACTATTGCGTATGAGAGAAACGTATGAAAATTAATGAAATAATTTTCATAAGCACAAAAATCCTTTGAAATGCCAGCGTATGAGTACCGTACATCTGGAGTACCTCTAGCGTATTGAGCGTGTGCCTAGAGTATGCTTATCGTATAAAGCATACGTCCGATACGCACAAAATTTTTGAGCATGCTTAAAAAAAAACTTCTGCCTCGCCGTATGCCAGCGTATGCCACCGTACGCGAACGTGCTTGAAACGTATGCAACCTATGCCTAACGTACCCCTTGCGTATGTCAGCGTATACCGGCGTATGAGTGAATTTTCATACGCCGGCATACGCTAGTACGATACGCAATAGTGTGACAGGACTACTTAACTAAAATGTTAACTAATAAAATGTAACTAAAATGTTAATGTCATAATACAATTTCTTTTTTGGGCTCTTAAAATATTCAGCATTGTATTGACCCGTACGTAGGGAGCTGAAAATGAAATTTAAAAACTTTCAAGGACCAGCATGGATTTTATAAGAATTTAAGGACTTTTGAGTACTCAATTTTGTGACCGGAGATGCAAATTTAAGGACTTTCATGGTTTTTAAGGACCCGCGTACGAACCCTGTATCCTTTATTAGATTTTATTTTTGTGAAGGCAGCCAATCTTCAAATGGAGCTTTTGTCAAATATAGTCTATGCTCAAAGATTTTCCATCACCGAGCGATAACTTCCTCCGTCCTCTAAAATGTGCCAAAACCGCCAAACCATAATAGACCCTCTAATCTGAACTTGCGGTGCTTGTGTGCGTATTTTACTTCCTAAAAAAAAGCAGAAACTCGACATTTCAAGCAAATACCCTTGGTCAAGAGTTAGTACAAGTTGAGGAAGGACCTTCGCTCGAAACGTCGAGTTTCTGCCTAGTTTTCAGGGGCCAGTTGTTCAAAGCTGGATTAGCGCTAATCCTGGTTTAAAATTTAATTAACCTGCTGTTTTACTAGCGGTGTATTTCTGCATGCCTGTATGTTTCAAAACTAGTCAGTTGGGAAGTTTGCCTTGAATTTTAGGTTAACCTATAGGGTTAAGCCAACCGGCTTTCGAATTACAACCGGCCGCAGGTAATAAAATACCCACACAGCACAGCAAGTTTACATTGGTTATTACCTACACTGGCACAGACAAAATTCTCATATTATCCCCGATATCATCGATACAACACTAACTCTTGATGTAGGGCCTTCGCTCGAAACGTCGAGTTTCTGCTTATTTTTTCAGGTAGTAAAATACCCACACACCGCAGCAAGTTTACATTGGTACTATACCTACACTCGCACAGATAGTTTAAGAATGCAACAACAAAAACTCTTTCCTGATACAAATAATGCTGGTATATGAACGAATACATAGCGATTTATGGTTTGGATTATGAATATACAGCCAATTCACTAAAGGTTGTCCATTGCAAACCTTAAACTCTAAACCTTAAACTCTAAGCACGCAAAGCTTAACTGATGGGAGCACAAGTTTCAAGCTTAGTATTTGAATATTGCACCTGTTTATGAATGAATTGTTCCCGTAAGGAGATAATTACCATGTCTCCAAGAAATAGGCCCCATATATGATATCTTCTAAACTGATTAAATAATGCTTCCATTATGCTTTGCACGCTTAGAGTTTAAGGTTTAGAGTTTAAGGTTTGCAAAGGACAACCTTTTTTGAATTAGCCGTATAATAAATAACCTCGAACGACAGGAGAAATATGCTAATTCAAGTACACAAGCAGCCAAGCGGAAGCGGGTTGTAGACTTGTAATTACCAGCAAGTCATGCAGTATTGAAATTCTGCAGAGCTATATCGTACGTGCATGCTCTATACGTGGGTCTGCAATTAAGCCATGCAGGCCAAAACATGCGGGTCACACACGAATATAATGAATACATTGAAGGAAACATTTTAAAATTATTTTAAGTTTCTATGCAGGTAAAATTCTTTCACGAAGCAAATGCTCCGCCAGATTCCTGAATATATATTCCTGAATATATATTCCTGAATGTATATATTGAATACTTCTCAAACGAAAATCTGTCCACTTCGCCCTCTCGTCGTTGCGACTGTCGCTGCGTGTGGCCGACTGATAAACTTGACAGTTACGGTTTTCACGAAGAAAATACTGGCGGTTAACGGTGAAGAAGAAATAAACACGACGCGTTTTGCGGATCGGAACGATCTCCCTACTTTATTGCTATGACACCAATATTATAATATGTTTCTCATTACATATATCGAAACTTAACGACACGCAAAGAGGCCAAATTTTGTTTCTAACCGACTAACTGTAAGAAAAATTTGACTGCCGATAGCCGCTATGACGCATTTTGTGTTGCTTTTAAAAAAATTGTATTTAATTTTTTTTACAAATATAATTATACAACTGTGCATGGTAAAAATAAATTTAATTGTGTTATTTTGGTTCTGTCGACACGTTTACTGATTTCTTTCAATTCCTCGTCCTCGATTTTGGCGAAGCTTTCGATGCAAGTTCGGTATTTATCGATGCTATACTATAATATACTAGTAATACACTGCCACTGGTGAGGATCAATACAGGTTTACGGATCGAAAGCTAGTAATACAAAATAAACGTGATGTGTCGAGAAATACCAAACAATTACATTTCCGGCGTTCAATCATGCAAACACGGCTTTGACTATAATCATGAAGTGGAATGTTCACGAAATTGATTCAAAGTGTTTGAATCTACTTGAAATAGTTGAGTGTGTAATTTGTGCCACAATGGTAGCTAAGTGCCTTTTTCACAGTGAAAAATAAATTTAATTGTGTTTTGTTCTGTGGTCACGTTTACTTCTTTCCTCGTCCTCGATTTTGGCGAAGCTTTCGATGAAAGTTCGGTATTTATCGGTACAACCTCGTACCCAGAGACTTTCCTCTTGGAGAGCAAAGACCCTGGTAGACGCTGGTCACGTGATCTGCTAAAATCTCGCAGATTTTTAATTAGCAATCCAAGATCAGGTCAATAAACATTTGATATTTGGATTATTTTGATAGTTTAATTTATAATTTGCATTTTGTATGATTGTCGTAATGAAAACCAAGATAGTTAATTAGAAATCTGCTAGATTTTAGCAGATCACGTGACCAGCGTCTACCAGGATCTTTGCTCCCCAAGAGGAAGGACCCTCGGTACGCGGTTGTTATCGGTATTGTAATACACTGGTGAAGGCAATATATGCTATAATAATATACTAGTAATACACTGCCACTGGTGAAGATCAATGCAGGTTTACGGATCGAAAGCTAGTAATACAAAATAAACGTGATGTGTCGAGAAATACCAAACAATTACATTTCCGGCGTCCAATCATGCAAACACGGTTTGACTATAATCATGAAGTGAAATGTTGAGAGTGTAATTTGTGCCACAATGGCGAGTATATATTATAGCGAGTTTTAGGTGCCTCGTATGACTCGCACTTAATGCAGCCCCGACATTTAAGATTTATAACAAATCGTATTGAATGAATTGAGTCCGAGAATTTCAACAATAATGAATTGACAGTTCCAACGTTGCATATAGTTATAGTTACGCAAATAACAACAATATTTTCAATAATGAATTGACAGATTGGCGTTGCATAAAGCAACTCCAGTTCCGAATTCCCAGGCCGTTTAGACCACATAATGACAAATTTACTATCCTTCATTAGATTGTATTTTTGTGAAGGCAGCCAATCTTCAAATGGAGCTTTTGTCAAGTACAGTCTATGGCTCTATGCTCAAATATTTACCATCACCCAACGATAACTTCCTCCGCCCTCTGAAATGCGCCAAAACCGCCTAACCATAATAGACCCTCTTATCTGAACGTTCTGTGCTTGTGTGGGAATTTTACTTCCTAAAAAATAAGCAGAAACTCAACGTTTCAAGCAAAGGCCCTTGGTCAAGAGTTAAAACAAGTTGACGAAGGGCCTTCGCTCGAAACGTCGATTTCACTAATTTTAGTTTAGAAGTTTAGAAGTGGAGGCCTTAACCAAGGGAGCACAGCAGTATTCTTTTCGAGACTTGCGTACCTGTATATGGCTGTACAATCTGTGAATAGTTAGTTGTTGTCTTCTTTGGTTAGTTGCTAATTTCATATAAATACTAAAACACTGTTTTTAAATACGTAAACAGGCCATATAAACTTTCGTATCAAAATTTTGGTATAAATATTGTCGCCCTTCGACGCGCCTTCTTTGCAGGCTATTTCCACATGGTCGTCCGCTGTACAAATTGTATCGCATGTAACTTACAATAAGAAATAGAGGGGAGTGAAACTGTGGGCACATCCGGTAAAAGCTTTTTACAGACGCTGTAGCAAATTGCTAGGCACAGTAACCGTTGCTAGGCACAAACCACTGATAGATGTAATTATGGAATTATGCAATCTAGGCTTCAGTTCACATGTTTTTAACGTGAGTTGATCCATAGTTAATCCAAACTGTGGTTGATCGTAGTATGCCATATATTGGTCTTTTTTTAATCATATTTCAGTACATTAATATACTAAACAATGGGGTCAAATTTCGACATTTCGTCATAATTTTGTTATACTTTGTGTTACTTTATAACATTAAAGCCATTTTTAAATATTCTAATGTGAAATTATCCAAGTAAAACCAGCATACGATATACTAAAACGGGAATATTTGTGTTTAATATAACTAATATACGTTATACAGAAAAATCACAATTCACAACTAACAACAATATAAATAATGACAAAATTTATATTATTACCACTCTCGAACATGCTATGGGCAATATTCTCGAAGTAGAAGCATGATATAATACAGTTAAAAAGGAATCAGAATTGGAACGTTTACGAGTTGTGAACAAATCAGTTTTTGGTAGGCTTTTACAGTCGACTCTAATCTGATTGTAAGCGTTTGGCTTTGCTACAAACCTTGGAGAAAGCGGTTCTCGAATCCCCAAATGCTATTGGTTAATATTAATCACGTGTCCACAGTTTCACTCCCCTCTATTTCTTATTGTAAGTTTCGCGCGTATTTACAAAACCGTTACATGCGAGATAATTTGTATAGCGGACGACCATGCGAAAATAGCCTGCCAAGAAGGGGCGTCGAAGGGCCACAATATTTATACGAAAATATTAATACGAAAGTTTGTATGGCTTGTTCACGTATTTAAAAACAGTGTTTTAGTGTTTATATGGAAATTGGCAAACCAAAGAAGACCAAGACTACCTATTCACAGATTGTACAGCCATATATATAGGTACGCAAGTCTCGAAAAGAATATTGCTGTGCTCCCTTGCCTTAACTAAAAGCCTATACAAGTTTCCAAAGGTCTCTAGCCCTCTGTAAAAATTGGGGGGGGGATCTAAATAACTGTGTAATTTGGGCAAATGATTAAATTAAATCTGCGATATTTTGCCCAAGGGTTGGGCAAAGAAAACAGGAGAGTTTACTGAAATGACAATGAAATTTATACATCTGCATTTTGGGCAGGGCCGTACACTCTAAAAAAAGGTGTGTTAATTTAACACACCTTTTTGTCCAAATTTTAACACACCTTAAGGTGGGTTTTAAAACACACCTTAAGGTGTGTTTAACACAGCTTTTGGCGTGTTTTGTAACACAGCTTAAGGTGTGTTTAACACACCTTAAGGTGTGTTAAACACACCTTAAGGTGTGTTCTAAAACCCACCTTAAGGTGTGTTCTAAAACCCACCTTAAGGTGTGTTTTCGGCTTGTCCAGATTTTAACACACCTTAAGGTGTGTTTTGTATAAAGGTGTGTTTTTGAACACACCATGGCGTGTTTTCGTACACACCATGGCGTGTTTTCATACACACCATGGCGTGTTTTCATACACACCATGGCGTGTTTTAAAACACACCTAAAGCTGTGCTGTATAACACACCATTCAGGTCTGTAATGTTTACAGCACGTTGTAAGGTGTGTTTCATAACACACTAAGGTGTGTTACATAACACACCTACAAAAGATGCTATAATAACACAGCAAACCTAAGGAGGTGTATTAGAAAACACATCTACATATTCTTATTAAAAGTAAAATGACATTAGAGACATGCTCATTTGAGTTTATCCATGACAAAATATTTATTTGACACTGACTAAATTACATTTTACATAGTTGACTATGTACTTTTACTATGTACTTTTACTAAACCGAACTGTAACAGACAACTTCCCATTCTGATGCAGTGTTCTGGCAATTAGAGTAATGGAGTATACTATATTAATTGTCTCGTACTTTATAGCCATGCAATTGTCAAAATATTGCAAGCCCACATCTTCCACAATCAGAATACCTGTCATATGAAACACTGTAAATAACTTGCATCCAATCATTCCATCTTTGTATCATTTTCTTTATCGCTCGGTGAACCACAACCTTTGAATCACATAGCCAAGTTTAACCATATTTAGAGGTAGTCGTATCAATCCAACATACAAGCCTGTGTCAAGATAAGTAAAAATTAATATACAATGGGACAATCTAACAGCTTAAGTTTATATATAACATATGTAATTAAGTCATTTAACCCACTAGCACGCAGGACTCTCTTCTTGATGACTAAAATTGTCCGGCATTTGACAGAGTAAAATAACAAAGGCGGGTCCATTTCGACCTAATGGCTTATCAAGGCACATTGGCAGATAGTTTGGATAACCACTAGTGAGCAGGACACTGCTCTTGAGGAGTAAAATTGTCTGGCATTTCACAAAGTAAAATGTCTGGTGTTAGTTAAGTGCAACATAACAAAGTAGGGTGCACTTGGGCACATTGCTGCTCAAAGGGTTAACAATAAAAGGGTGCATATATTAGCTTAGCCTCCTGCGCAGACGTTGTTAGTGGCCGAGGCCTCACCTAACGTCTGCTCACATTCGCTATACATTTGACTTCCCGGCAATTAACCAATCACAATCATCTACACGATAATTGGAAGATCGGCCTTCAATGACCTTCACACGCATGGGTTATTATCACTCTTGTGCTATTATCAACAAGTCTGTACTATTTTTAAATTTGGAAGTTTTAACACTGCGCATCAGAAAAAGACTTTTCAGTTTATTATAAACGAAAAGAAGGATGTTTTCGTAAATCTCACAACTGACGCAGGAAATCACTTATTTATCACGCCGTTACCGAAGCTATTCGATGTAATATTCGGATTTAAATATTTAAACAAATTGTAAACATTGTAAACATTTAGTAATCGTCATTGATAAATTCAATACGATCGTAATCAAGTAAAAAAATGACACGATCTAGGAGTCGGTGCTGTGTCATTATTAAGTTTAATCGAGAGCGATAAAGAAGCGAAGACATTGGAAGATGGGAAATATTCTGACTGTATTATATGGCACAGCAGAGTCATTGATGAAGACAAAGACAAAGTGTATGGCAGAACGGTTTGTGCTTTGGCTATTGATGCATGAAGCTCATTTCAGTATGTATTATAATAAATCCTAAACATGTGTTTGCATTTGCAATTCTCAAAGCCACAGCAATCGATCGGCTTTGACCATTTTAATAGTCGTTATTTTATATTGTCTTGATTTATACGTTGCCTCGTATTATCTATTGCACGTAGCACCAGCAAGTTTATGAGCCATTCTAGTTAATATACATCATACATGCCCCAACCCTCTGATGTAAACCCTTCATAATTGCCCTCATATAAACTTGCATGCTAGTACTACATGCAAATAGATAATACGAGGCAATGTATAAAAAGACAAATTCAATTTAAATAAACAATATAAAATATTAATGAATAATGACTATTAAAATGGCCAAGCCCGATCGATTCCTGCATGTGTCTTTGGGAATTACAAAAGCGAACACATTTTTAGGATTTATTATAATACATACCATTCTTTAATCGCATGAGCTTCATGCATCAACAGCCAAAGCACAAACCATTTTGCTATACGTACAATTTGTTGAAGCATTCGTTTCCATCGTTCGGTCTTCAACAATGACTCTGCATATAATACAGTCAGAATATTTCCATTCTTCCAATGCCTTCGCTTCTTTATCGCTCTCGATTCAACTTAATAATGACACAGCACTGACTCCTAGATCGTGTAGTTTTTTGACTTGATCTCGTATTGAATTTATCAACCGAAACCACGATTACTAAATGTTTACAATGTTTACAATTTGTTTAAATATTTAAATCCGAATATTACATCGAATAGCTTCGGTAACGGCGTGATAAATAAGGGATTTCCTGCGTCAGTTGTAAGATTTACGACAACATCCTTTTCGTTTATAATAGACTGAAAAGCCTTTTTCTAATGCGCAGTGTTAAAATTTTCAAATTTAAAAATACTACAGACTTGTTGATATAGCCCATGCGTGTGAAGGTCATTGAAGGCCGATCTTCCAATTATCGTGTAGATGATTGTGATTGGTTAATTGCCGGGAAGTCAAATGTATAGCGAATGTGAGCAGACGTTAGGTGAGGCCTCGGCCACTAACAACGTCTGCGCAGGAGGCTAATATTAGCTAAGTATATTGAATATCAATATACAGTCATTGTAAACTTCAATTCTCGTAAATTTGTCTTTTCACAATACTTTTATTCAGCACTGACGACTGCACTAGTCAGCACTAGATTCGCTAGAAATATGTTACATTGTTAGTTAGTTTACTAAAAAATTAGTGTGTGTAAAGATACTTAACGATCCTAGAAACAGGATTACTTACAAGTTATTGTGAGGTATTTTTCCTTTATAATCAACAATACAAATATATAACACAGTGATAATACCAAACTCGATAAAAGATAAAACTCGTCACAATGTTTTCGCGCCCTTTTCTCCTGCGCCCGCAAGCAATGTACTTCATGTAACAGTTCGTACAGTCATTTAACAAGTTAATTTGTTTGGCATTTCAAGACATAGGATGCAATGGACTGATACTGTATCTGGCCGGATATTAAGATTTTAATTCATTATCTGGCATCCGGCTACCCAATGTCGGATATTATTTATATAGGGTTCAGGCCTTCTTTTCAGGTTAGAAAATGATTTGATAAGGTTATCATATCATGATCATTGAAGTAAAAATATGATAAATATGATCAGTATTTTCAATGCTTGTTTGTACAGTAAATGGGGATTTGAACTTTTAACTGATGTAAACGAGGCTTTTGCTACCAATGATGCATGTTTGCTACCAATGATGCAGGTTTACTAGTTTTAGACTGTTTACTTTTTAACCAAATAAAATTATTACCAGTACTTAACCTTAAATGATGCCTGAACCTTATATAATTATTTGAATAATACCCTTAATCGGGCTGGATATTTTTCAGCCATCCAGCATATCCTGTATCTGGCTGGATAGCAGAAATACTCTGTCCTGCACACCCCTAGAAAGAACCGAAAGTAGGCAACATTTAAGAGGAAATTGTTTCTTCGGTGTTAATAGGTGAAATGAGTCCATGCAGTCGATAAGTAAAATTGTCTAGCATGAGACGTCACAGTTCAATATTAAAGTACTTAAAGTAGGGAGTGTTAGGGAAAATTGCATCTAAATATGTCAACATGAAACATGGGCAAAATCTAGCTACACACAAATTAACTTGTCTGGCATTAGGAAAGGTGACATAATTTAAGAAAGTGCTGAAAACTGGGTTAATTGGAGTGAATTGGGTTGTTACATATATTACTAAGCAGATCATGTGGGTGGTGTAGCTAGCTAAATGTATTCATGAGTTTGAACAAACAAACAAACTAAGGACTTTAACTGTTTCCAATTAGGGAGATGTCCATATTCAAGTTGCCACACAAAACATCAAATTGACATTTTTATCTAAGCCGATCTATCCATCCTTGAAAACTTCAAGCATGACATACAAAGAAACTTGGAATTTAACCCCCCACCCCATTCCATTGATGTCTTAGTACATCTTACTATTATCAGTCTCAGAAGATTCTACTCTTAGACTCCCTCCCCCTCTGGATGACTAAAATGTCCTTTGCATCTAAAAGGGTTAAATATGAAATGTGACCCTCTGATGTTAGACATAGTAAAATCATGAAGTACTGAAAGCAGTCTGGCTTTTATCTTAATAATGTGTTAACACAAAATGCGGGCAGACAATCTAGTTTCAATGAAAGGTTAAAACCTTTTAAGTCCAACACACTCCCCATTGACAAACAAAATCACCATGCAGGGGTTGATTGTTCGAAAGCCGATAAGTTAACCTTAGATTAAGCAAACTTCCTAACAGTTTGTTTATAAATTTGGAAATATTTCTTTAGACATCTTGTCTGGATCAGTACCATAGGAGTTTTCTTTTCATAATTTTAAAACAAAAAGATACTGTATGTAGAAATACATAAATTTTAACTACGGGTTAGGGTTAATCCGGCTATGCAGGCCTTAAAATATCGGTCGGTCATGGACATTGTCCGACCCATTAGTGAAATTGTCCAACGTAGAGAGGAAACCACCAGACATTCTGTCCGACCAAAGTGAAATTGAGGTTTATTGTTTGTCCGACATGTATTGGTGTCCGACAGCACTGTAGCTTTGTCCAACGTAAATCAAAATGTACCCTATCCCAGGACTAGAGGCTCGTATGTTAAATGGAAAATCAGAGTACTATAGACCTTATTCATAAATCGTGATGAGGCCTCTATCCTAGGAAACGGGGAAAACGCGGGGAAGCTCTGCAGCTTAATGGGTTAAATTAGGGTATGTAAGTGCTAATGGTAACTGAGACATGCACACACAGTCTGTTAATCCATCACAACATCACATCTTAATGGGTTCATGGAATACCGTAAATCTCGGACTATAAACCCTGGGCTATATATTTGGTGGGCTTATACAAAGGGGGGGGGGGGTTACAGTATATAGGAGGGATAGAGCTTATACATGGACATTCAATCTTTTGTGTTAGTATAATAAACAAGTCAGTCATAAACAGGAAAATAAACACATAGTAATAATGCACTTTGATTAATTAACGACGTTTTGTTGTTGACTTAAGCTATAAAGACAATGTTTTTAAATATTGTTCTCTGATATATTAACCCATTGAGCCACAACGCGCCCCAGTGCGCTCTACTTTTTTTTCACTTGTCTAACGCCAAACGATTTTGCTCGTCAATGGGGAAACTCTGCAGCTTAATGGGTTGACCAAAAAATTTGACAAATTATGTCTGGTAAACCCATCAAGCCGCAATGCGCCCCAGTGTGCCTTACTTATTTTTTTACTTGTCTTATGCCAGACAATTTTACTTGTCAATGGGGCAGCTCCACAGCTTAATGGGTTAATTAAAAGACAATGTCAATGTTGAATAACATAGTGGGCTACTGGGCTTATATTCGGGGGGGTGGGGCGGGGGGCTGAGTTGTATAGGTTTTCATTGACTGGTGCATAACACCTCTAACAGTGAAATAGATTTTTTCATTGATTGAAGAATTTGGACATAAAAAACCTAGATATATAAAAATTAGGAACTTATGAAAGTAGCAGTTGATTTGAAACAAGTGGTTACATTTTCTCAAACCATGTTTAGCTGGGACATGTGTAGTTGAGCATATGATGATTGAGTAGATGCCAAGCTATATTTATACTTTATACCAGAAACATTGTTTAATATCTGGTAGTCTGTCATATATTCATATACACAAATATTAGTTGCCCTTTATACAATAAACATAATTTAATATAAAGTCAAATGTAAGCCTTCTATAAAACTAATATATCATCTTTTTAATTCAAATATTGTCGCGGCAAATTCAAATTTTAAACATGAACACATGCTCAAAATTCATGAATGAAGATAACGAATATTTACTTTCAAAGCTGCTCCATTATACATATAACATAACAATATGCTTACCTGAATGTTATTCAGTCATGCTCGCTGTTTCCTCTTCGTTCAAATCATTCCTCGTCGCTTAAAAAAAGCGAATTTTTCGAACCCATAAATTCAGAATGAAGGCTTGAAAAATATGGCGTAATGGCGGTGTGAATTAGTGATGGGCGATACCGAGTACTCGGTATTCGATACCAGCGATACCACAAACAGCGGTATCGGTATCGATTACTGACGTGGTATCGTTCGATACTTGCACCCTTTTTTAAACGACATGTTTAATTTCACTTCTTGTTTGAATAAGACTTAATGAACAACTAAAATAACTGTTAATATTCCGAATGTGGTGCGCCAAGTCAAGTATAGAGTATATTTATTACGTTTCGGACTTTTGGTTTACTTATAGTTTTATTTAGGTTACATACAGTAAAGTAAAATGTTTTTCCACTGACCGGCAAGTATCGAAAATAGCCAATACTAGCAATTTAAGTACTCACTTCCGGTATCGAAAATTGAAATTTTGTGTTTATTTTGGTATCGAAATAGGTATCGGTATCGGCCGATACCGATTTTAAAAGTATCGGTATCGGTATCGAATTAAAAATCCTGGTATCGCCCATCACTAGTGTGAATAAATGACGCTATCCCGGGAAGCTTTGCGCGCGTAGTACGAAAACTAGGCACCAGTCTGTAAAATCGCGCTCATCGTGAGAATTTTCGTTTCTTTCGATCCGAACAGCTTCAAAAGGCCAGTTACCGGGTATATTTCAGATATTAATGGTGTGCTAAAGACAGATTAATCTCTTAGAAAATAAATAGTCCCAGTAATGCTCTTGCTACATGCGAAAGAATAAAATACTACACAACAAATATCAAACGGTTATTAGACACGTAAAACTTGATATCGCCGGCAAAGTCGGTATCGCCATTTACATCTACTGTATATATCCGAAAAACATATTATAGCATACATTACCGTGATTGATGATTGGATTTATTGTATGTTACTAAAAAGCATTTTTCAGTACACACCGTGCACGCGTGTTTTCCAAAATCGGCGTAGGGTGTGTTATCTAACACACCAAGATGTGTTTTTGCAAATTAGTATGAGGTGTGTTCCCGAACACACCAAGGTGTGTTTTCATTCAAAAGGTGTGTTATTGAACACACCTTATATACATCAAAGGTGTGTACGAAAAGGTGTGTAAAATACAGGTGTGTTTCTTAGCACACCTAGGTGTGTTTTGTTACACACCATGGTGTGTTTTCTAACACATCATGGTGTGTTTTCTAACACACAAAGGTGTGTTTTCTAAAATTGTATAGGAAGGTGTGTAAAATGTACACACCTTGGTGTGTAATTAAACACACCTTGGTGTGTAATTAAACACACCTTGGTGTGTAATTGAACACACCTTTATCATAGAGGGCCCCCTATACCTCTTCACAATATGCTTTCACGTAAAAATATTTTGCCTTTTCACGAGTCGCGGATTAAGAAAATCATCGATCACGTTTCACGGCTGAGTAAAATAAGCCCTTCACGCTTCACGCAAAACGTATAGGGGGCCCGATCACGTTTCACGGCTAAGTAAAATAAGCCCTTCACGCTTCACGCAAAAAGTATAGGGGGCCCTCATCATATCGTCGGTTTACTTTGGAGGTTCATATATCTTTGGTTCAGTGCATGCTATGTGGATGAAAATGCCACCGTTCAATTCAGTGAAACAATTCCTATGGATGGTTTTAGTAAAATGTCAACATGAACATTATCAACGGAACATTATAGCGATTTACGATCTTTAGAAGTTAAGCGATACCATATTTCACACAATTTTCCCGAACAATGTAAACAATGTCAATGTATTTATACAAACTATTAAGGCATAAGTGCATAACCTTTCGCCGAACAGAACTTTGGTCCCTTTCAACATATCTTTTTCGTAATAGTCTTGTTCGAATCAGAATCCAAAATACTATTCAGAGTGTTATTTTCAAGCTTGTATTTACAGATTTGCATCTTTTATTTCGGTATTTCAGAATATCTAAATTTTTAGTGAGAGCTTCTACCTGAAATACAAACTGATTGTCGAAACAATGCTGTCCTAGCACTCGGAAAACGTCGGAGAAACCGACGATGTTCAGCGAAAGGTACGATCTCGCTTGGCTTTCAGAGGCAATAAATCGCTACAATGTTGATAATGACTAAAGCTATTGTAAGGAACTATTTGATTTTTTCACTGAATCAAATGGTGGTATTATTGTGTTCATAGCATGCACTAAACTCAAGATATGAACATCTAAAGGTCCAGACACACCGGATACGATTTGACAACGCGATAACTTTAATCCTAGTTTAAATTTTCCAAGTATTTAGAAGCGTTATAACATTTTGCGTTATTTGGTCTACATGTCTTTTAAGATTTGCTCTCATTGGCTGTTGTATTAACTTTCAAAAACTAAAAAATCGCGTCGCGTTGTCTAATCGCGCACGGTTTGTCTGGACCTTAAAGGTTGGCAGCTTTTAGCGATCTACGATGCTTGGGCATGGGACTGAGCGAGAAAGGGTTTTAAAATTTTATTTTAGCCGTTTACAACGAAATGGTAGAGTTAATTTATTTTTTGGCGTTATACGACAAATAATTACTGACGGTCATAATAACCTATTGTTTTCTCTCTGCATTATATCAGCGAATGTCGAGAAGTTTTAGCGTTCTTCTGAAAAACGGGAGCGGTCTTTTTTGATTGTAGGGAAATTCCCAGGGGTAAATGTTTATACGGGCTAAAATAGCACACAGCATTATTAAAAATAATGCAGCGTGCACACAGCATTATTAAAAATAATGCAGCGTGCACACAGCATTATTAAAAATAATGCAGCGTGTATCAGTGCACACTAACCTGAGTATCAGGCTCTATTTTACAAATAGAGCCTGACACAAAACTTAACCTGATCGCTTTCCGCCCACAGCAAAGTTTATATTTAGTATCCAATCAAAATGTCGCAGGAGAAATTTAAATTTCACACAACGACAACAACAATCTAATTATAGCATAGGCGCCCACTAAACGGCTGAATTTAAATTAAAACTGCAATGAACTTATAAAATTAACAAAAATAATCACAAATTAGCGAAATATATTGCAAATGTAGCTTATATTAAATCGCCACCCGATTGCTCTCTCCTCCGCAGAGGTTTCAGTGACTACAATGAGCTTTACATGGCGCTTGCCGTATTTATCAACAAACTGACGTATAATTATAAAGTATACTTTATAACTATACGTCAGTCGATAGTGCAATCTGATGGCGATTTAATATAAGCTACATTTGCAATATATTTCGCTAATTTGCGATTATTTTCTAATTTTACTGCAGTTTTAATTTAAATTCAGCCGTTTAGTGCGCCGGCTATAATTGTAGTTGTGAATTGTGATCGTTATAAAATATATTAACAACAATAGTATAATCTAATTAGCACCAGCCAATCAAATGACAGATTTAAAAATCGTTTGTCTAATCGGCCAATCAGCGCTCAGTCCAGATTCTGGACTGAACAACCAGGCAAAATGCCACTTTTGTGTCAGGCCGTATTTTTCTCCCCTTCGCCCACGATCAGGCGTGCCTGTGCCCTAAAAAGTACGGCCTGATACTCAGGTTAGTGCACACAGACATTATTCGCAATCCTTCGTCATCGGTCATCCTGACACAGAATAGGAAGTTATACCAGAAGCGTAACTCTAGTCGTTGCCCTTATTGTTTGACGTCCACGAAAATTTTAACTCGCTCACGTCAGGCTACGCCATCCTGGCTAGTACAGCCGGAAGTTTTTATCAGGATTTGGTAGGTACAAAGTGCCGGTTGTACTAGCCAGGATGGCGTGATTGATGACGATTCGCTTGTAAAAACGCGGACAAATATTTGCTCGAGTTACGCTTCTGGTATAACTTCCTATTCTGTGATCCTGACAAGTACACGCGATAACGTGAACATCTCAAGATGAGAAGTTGACAGTGCTAAAGGCCCCTCATACAATATCATCGGGCGCCTGAAGCACTGCCAAAACGGTCGCTGTGAGTCCTTTCAGCTCAACTTTATAGAGAAATAGTTTCGTTTGCGCTTTTGGGGTTTTATCCTAGATATACGCATGTGCAGAACACACCATAAGTTCTATTCCCGTGTTTATCCAGTTCAATACGCTCTTTGAATTAACCTTATCAGTAATGATAATATGTAAACTAGAACACTATAATTGACCTCCGCTTGTGGAGATTTTAATTTAGGGCGATTAATTAATCTGAAATCTATTCTATCACGATGCATTACATGCATGTCCTCACAAATGTCTAGTGTTTAACGTTGGATAGATTCATTGTCATACGGTCCCAACAAGCAGCAACGTAGTCTTTCAGCCGAAAATAATTATTTTTGATTCGGGTCAGTAATTATAATAGATAATTACTTCGGCCAAACGGCATTATTCGATATATTGCAGCCAGCTTCGGCCTTCGGCCTCAGCTGGCTGCAATATATCGAATAATGCCGTTGGCCTCAGTAATTATCTATTAAAGAATGAAGAATAAAAAATTAATGGTTCAATGGTTGAAAAATCAACCAAGATATTTCGTTCATTATATTGAACGTTCTATCCTCTCTTCCTTTTTATAAACTCGTTCAATTTGATGTCCGTTTATACTGATTTTTGGCACGTGATCTAAGTTTTTCAATCGTTGCCGAGATCCAATAATCATATATTTGGTTTTTTCGTTGTTTAATGTTAGTTTATTCGCTGATAACCATTTTTGAGTATTTACTAGGTCTTTGTTAAGTTTGTATTCAATATCTATGGATAAATGTCCTTGACATGATAAAATTGTGTCATCAGCAAATAAATTAGAGTGTGTTGTTTCTAGGCAGTTTGGGAGGTCGTTTATGTAAATGAGAAATAATAGAGGTCCAAGATTTGAACCCTGAGGTACTCCACAACGAATTGTTTCAATATCAGATTTACAGTTATTTAGCATGCAAATTTGCTTTCTTTGATCTAAATACGATTGGAACCATTTGAGCGTGTGGTCTCGTATCCCATAAGCTTGTAGTTTTGACAATAGAATCTGGTGATCAATCTATCAAATGATTTTTTCAGGTCTAAGAAAATAATCCCATTTATTTGACCCTGGTCCATTGATTTTAACCACATTTCAGTAGATTATAGTAACGAGG